AGTGCGTGTTCGGCTGCAGTGCGCGATTATGCTCGCTGGAGTGTTTCTTAGAACACAAGGATCAGTGCCACTGCTCGGCCAAGGAGGTGCCGCTTTTCAGCGAGAGATGGGCCGGAGGCAACTGTCCTCTGACGAGGGCGATCTTGCAGGAAGGACTGGATGTGACGCGGCCCTATGACATCAAGATCAGCCCATTGATGGACTTCTTTTCAGAGAGTGGAAAAATGATTTGGGAAGACCTGGACCAGACGCCGGTGGAAGCCGAGCATCACGCGCCAGACTGCAAGACCATGAGCAGAGCAAGAGGGAGGCCATTTCTGTTGGAAGGGCAATGGATCAAAGGACCTCCAGCCTTGAGGGATGAGAGGAATGTCATGGGCTTCAACAACTTGAAGGGGCATCAGGCAGTGCAAGTTCGCCAGGGAAACCGAATGGCCCTGAGGAGTGTGAAGCGGTGCAAAGAATTGCACGAAAAAGGGAAGGTGTTCACTTTGGAGCATCCCTGGAGGAGCTTCCTCTGGTACATGAAAGCTACCGTTGAGCTGGCCAGCCTGCCAGGAGTGCAAATGGCTGTGTTCTCCAATTGCTGCTTCGGCGGACAGAGGCAGAAGTGGACCGCCGTGTTGACCAACAGCCGGCACATCTTTGAAGCGCTCCACAAGCCCGATTGTGACCACGGGCTCACACAGGACTACCAGCCGTTCTATGACCAAGACGGCGTCATACAGTACCCAACCGAAATGGAAGCGGAATATCCGCAGGGAATGTGCCAGGCTTACGCTCAGAGCCTGCGTGAGGAGATGCTGGAGCGCGGAGTATGGCCCGAGGAGAAGGCCTTCCGGGTGAGGCAGTTGGGAAACGAGCTGGTCAAATACAGCCGGTTCACAGGCGAGGAGCTGAGGACCAAAGTAGCCCTCCACATCTTTGAGATGGAAGAGCAGTTGGTGACCGGCAAGGAGAACGAAGCTCGCCACTACCTCCTCCAAAATGGCCATTACCGTGGCACAGATGTGCGCTTCGCAGTGGAGCATCAAGCACAGAGGGAGTTGATCCCGTACCCAGCGTATAGGTGGCTGTGGCGGGACACTCTCAGCTACCGCTGGAAGCAAGAAGCTCATATCAATGAGCTGGAAACCCAGGCCATGATTGCCCATGTTCGGCGCCTGTTGAAAGAGGAGGATGTACAGCACGTGCGACTGCTCATTGTGATTGACTCCCAAGTGCTCTTCTATGCAATTGGCAAAGGCCGTAGCCCAGCGAAAAGGATCAACAGATTGCTCAGGCGCTTGACAGCGCTAGCTCTGATGGGGGACCTCTACATCCTGCCCGTGTGGACATTGTCGGCATGGAATTTTGCCGACAGACCAAGTCGACGAGCCTGAATGTCCCTGCGGTTTGTCGGTCTGCACGCAAAATCCCTGAGGAGCTACAAACGGGCCCTGTTGCACTTCTTTCGCTGGCTGGATGATGAGGGTGAGCCAATTCCCTCTAGGCCGTCCATTTTGGATGACCTCTTAGCACAATACCTGGAGCACTTGTGGTTGGATGATATAAACATCACCTATGCCGGGCATGTCCTCAGTGCACTACGTCGTTTCTACCCCCAACTGAGGTACAAGCTGCCCGTGGCAAAACAATTCTTTTCCAATTGGAAAAGTGTGCATGTCACCCAGCAGGCGGTTCCCATGCCCGCTGATGTAGCCTTAGCTTTGGCCGGCGTGCAGGTTGGTGATCATCGCCTAGCCTTGTTACTTTTGCTGGGCTTCACAGCCTTCCTCAGAACAGGCGAGATCACGGGCCTTGAAGTTTCACACGTACAGGCAGACCCAATAACGGGCCGGATCATTTTAGCGTTGCCAGCCACCAAAACGTCAAAACAAAAAATGGAAAGTGTGGCTGTGTATGACTCCCTCTTGGCTACGTTCGCCTTTGAGGTGCTCCGATCCTGCCCGGACAAATCTATCGGCGGCCTCTCGCCTAACCAGTTCAGGGCAAAGCTTCGTTTGTTGCTGAAGTTCCTCAAACTCGAGGATATGAGTTTCACAGGTTATAGCCTCCGTAGAGGAGGGGCTTCTCACGCCTTTGCCACCGGCACTCATTTTGATACCCTTCTTTTGTTGGGTCGGTGGCAAAGTGTAAAAACGGCGCGCCAATACCTCGATTCCGGACGTGCCGCCTTGGTACAAATGCGCCTCTCCCCAGTCAGTGCCTCCTTAGTGGACCGTTTTCAGGTTCAAATTTCTCTTTTTTGCGAGCAACTGCGTCAGAAGCGCACTTCAAGGCGCTGATAAGTTGGGAGTAAGTGCCCCATCTTCTTTTTGGCCTTCGTGATTTGAAGTGCTGAAGGTGGGAGTGTGCCAGGATAGCTTGGTCCTGTGAAGCGCTCTGGTATAGAGCCTGGCCAGGCTCAAGGGGCCTGAGGTTTGAAGGATCTGCAGCTGCTTGCAGAAAGCAGATCCAAAAACTGACCAAACGGTAATACACCTTTGGTCCTGGCACTTTACAGCCTTGCCACAGCGTGAACAAAAAGGAGCTGAGTGAGTGCCTATAGATGCAAGTAACTGAAGGCTTTGCATGAAGGCACATTTCTATAGCACTTCGGTGGCTCCGCAGCTCTGGCTCTCCCAGGCCTCTCCCGCCCTGCCAGCGCTTGCTGTGTCCTTCGCCTGGTGGGAGTGTGCCAGGATAGCTTGGTCCTGTGAAACGCTCTGGTATAGAGCCTGGCCAGGCTCAAGGGGCCTGAGGTTTGAAGGATCTGCAGCTGCTTGCAGAAAGCAGATCCAAAAACTGACCAAACGGTAATACACCTTTGGTCCTGGCACTTTACAGCCTTGCCACAGCGTGAACAAAAAGGAGCTGAGTGAGTGCCTATATATATATATATATATCTCTCTCTATATATATATATATATATAAATGTGCGCGCATAGGTATATATGTGTAAATATACATATATATATACACAGATCTTTTTATCACACCTATAAACGTATCTGGTGTGCTTCGCGCTGGCACAGCGAGGTATACTCAGAAAAGGCGTCCAGGGTCTGTCGGTAGTGCTGATGTTGACGTGTAGCTGTCGACCATGATGATGATGATGATGATGATGATGTTGAGGTATCCCGAAGCGATGCATGAGGCGTAGCCCGAAGCGATGCACTCGACGTATCCCGAAGCGATGCCCATGCCGGTGGGAAGAGTCAGAGAAGAGAAGAGAAGAAGAAAGAAGATCACAAAAAGAGAAAGTCTCAGAAGAAAGAAGATCCAGGTGTGCGAAAAGGTAGGAAAGTCGCGAAACACAGTGTTTTTCCAATGATTTGTGGCCCCGGAGGATCGAAAAGTAGGCTTGCTAAAGCGGCGGGTGCAGAGCCCGCTGGCCAGATGAGAGATGAAAAATTGCACGCCGTTGTGGCGCGAAGCACATTTGCAAGTGAAAAAGCTAAAAACACCTCACGTTCGGAACACTTTTGGAAGTTGAGATGTCAAAAAAGTGTACGCCGTTGTGGCGCGAAGCACATTTCGAAGTCAAAATGTACAAAACACACCATGCTCGGACCACTTTTGGAAGTTGAGATGTCGAAAAAGTGCATGCCGTTGTGGCGCGAAGCACAATTCGAAGTCAACATGTTAAAAGCACCAGATGTTCGGAGCACTTTTGGAAGTTGAGCTGTCTAAAAAGTGCACGCCGTTGTGGCGCGAAGCACATTTAAAACACCAGGGGCTCAGACCACTTTTGGAGGTTCAGATGTCGTTTCGCGTGGCAGGCGCAAGGGATTGTGCACCTTGTCAAAAGTGAGCAAAATGCGAGGGTTTTGTAGCATGTCCAAAAACGATGGCAGGCGTGGGACATTTGAAGAGGATCTGCAAAGATGCATTTTCCGTGGCAGGCGCAGTACAAGAGACATGTTCATCAGAGCTGTTAGGAGGTCCGGGCGCTGAGAGGGGTTGCATTTTGGAGCATCAGATCTTCAGGTTTGCTGAGAAGATTTTGCGTGACAGGTGCAGCACTTTGTATGACCTGGCATCATTTTTCCGTGGCAGGCGCAGTAGTTTAGACAAATGGACTGGAAAAATCGCAAAACGCATTGGTACGAGGCCGTCACCGCTGCACGCAACTTTCCATTTTTGAAGGAAGTCTCGCAGAATTGCTTCATTTTTGATGTTGTCAACTTTGAAAAATGAAGAAGTCTCGCAAAATTGCTTCGTTTTTGACGTTGTCAAGGTCAAACATTGAGGAAGTCTCGCAGAATTGCTGCGTGTTCAAAACCTGAGGACGTCTCGCAGAACTTGATGCTGTCAAGTTCAAAACCTGAGGATGTCTCGCAGAATAGCATCGTTTTCAAGCTTGCAGATAGACAGGTAGATAGACAGACAGACAGACAGACAGACAGAGAGATAGATAGACAGACAAATAGATAGGTAAGACGGTCAGATAGATGGATGGATGGATGCATGGATGGATGGATGGATAGATAAGTAGGTAGATAGATCAGATAGATCAGATAGATAGACAGATAGATAGATAGACAGATAGATAGATAGACAGATAGATAGACAGATAGGTAGATAGATAGATAGATAGATAGATACATAGATAGATCGGTAGATAGATAGATAGATAGATAGATAGACAGACAGATAGATAGATAGATAGACAGACAGACAGATAGATAGACAGATAGGTAGATAGATAGATAGATACATAGATAGATCTATAGGTAGGTAGGTAGTCAGAGAAAGAGAGAAAGAGAGAAAGAGAGGAGACCTCAACCACCTGTTGGTCCATCAGTGGCTTCGCTCTGCTATCCGTGATTCACAACAACCAACCTCTCCTATAGGTTTCCTATTTTTGAAACTTCCGCCACCGCCTTGTGCGGTACTACTGGTATAGTCTATAAATGGATAGATTCTATATATATATATACATATGATATATGTATGTGTGTATACCACACAAGAATACCTGGAGCAAACTCTAGAGCGTCCACTGTTGCTCTCAGGATGACAGCCCTTGGGTTTTCAGCGACAGGTGCTGACTCTGTTGCGGGTAAGGTTACATTGCCAGAGCATCATGATTTCATGAACACCCCGAAACTTGGGTACAGTAGATTCATTGTTCACCAGAATGCCAAGGTTTTGGACTGCATGCATCATTTTTGAGTATACACACATGTTCTAAAAAACATATGCCTTTTTATAGATACAATATGATACAATACATGCACGCATACATGTGTGTATACTCTTTGCATTCATACACACACATATACATATATATATATATACAAATATATGCGAATATACCCAAACTGATACATAGATTGATACATAAACTATCACAAACTGATACATCAACTGATATATGTACATTTATATACATACATATGTCATGTGCCATACATTTTTCAATGTGATCAGAATAAGGGGGGCGTAACGTAATGGCCTTTTTTGTGTTTCGCCAGGCTCCAAGTTCCGTGACTTGATGACAGAGTCCAACGCCGACGACCCCAGCTCCAAGACTTGGCTTGGACGAGTCCGATGGCTCATCAGCAAGCCGCAATTCGACTGGGCCATGGGTGCCTGGATTGAAGGGAAACCATTCACTGCGCCAGCCATGGAATTCGTCACTCCTTGGCGCAGCAACAATTCTCACGCCATTCGCAAAAAACGCGCAACACCACACGTCAAGAGCACTGACGACTGTATTGCGCTTGCAGCTTCGGCAAATCGAACCACGCACGCAATCACCTTAAATCACATGTTTCGGATTTCATTTCGCTTTTTCAGCCGCCTCCAAAATGATGCGTTTTGCAGTTTTCTCACAGGCACGGACGCTGCCCTGAAACACAGCAAAGTCTACACAAAACATCGTTGCACAGCCATGCCAATGCAAAAAGTGCAGGAATCAGTGCACAAAGGGTTGGAAGATGTTGGAAGCATTACGCCTGCTTCCAAACCGACAGGCCACACCCGGCCACACCTTTCGACACCTCACCAATACCACGCCGGCAAGATCAGATTATCGCGATTTATTGCACATGCCACAGCATTTTGAATGTCCCTATAAATCACAAGTCCTATTCGCATCTATTTGCAACAGGTTCCTACCTAAAAACCAAAAAAAAAATAAACAATGCAACAAAAGACTTGAATAAGGACCAAGGATATATTATAACAGCCTTAAAACTGTATGTTTTTGAATTCTTGTGCCATCAAGAGTATCCAGATTGAAACCCACATGTTGCACTTCTTTTTGGGGATCCAAAATTTTGCTGTAGCAAAAAAATGAAATAAGTTGAAAACTCTGGCACCCCTGTCCACGCTCTAGATAGGCCGTTCCACGCCATAGATAGGTCGTTCCACGCCCTGGATAGGTCGTTCCACGGTTTGTCCACGGTCAGGTCTGAAATTGTACATAAATTGGGCATCAAAATATCTTGTCATTCTAGATTGCTTCTCTTCAAGAATGTGTGAAAATAGCGAATAACATGATATGTTTCTTGGCTGTGCACATCTTGAACCCCTGCTACAGCACGCATCCCTCAATAGGTCCCATGATTCTCGTTTAGGTCTTTTCTCCAAGGACCTTTTCAAAATAGGTCTTCGACGCGCAGGGATGTTATATATGATGCATGTTCTCACTCCTTCGCACAGCAATTCCAGTGACATGTTGAAAACACATGCGACCCGACGCAACTGAAGTATTGCGCAAGCCATGAAACATGTCGCAAGAGGACCATTGCGCATGCCACAAAAGTAAGTCTTCTTATAAAGAGACCACGCAAAAAGTATTTCACCATTATAGAGCGTCTGTCACATGAAACAACATTCCACACACTAGCCGTCAAGTGTCAAGTACCATGCCTGCTACACGAAATGATGTTTCACGACTTGCAAAGCGTCCATCAGTATGGTAATACTGCTTAAACTTCCCCAGAATCACGTCGCGGACGGCCTTGAAGGTTTGTGAGTGGCTGTGAACGGTTGACGGTTACGGACAGTTGCGGACAGTCACGAACATAAAAGCAGTGTCTAGAGAACAAGGGTCCCCCAGACCCCCCAAGAGATAAACAAGAGCCCTTCGCATCAGTGAGCATCGATCATGATGCATCGCCTTGGCGATGACTGTATCATACTGTATCAATCATCACCAAGGTGTTGTGATCTTCTTGAATTCAATTTGCATTGGCATCGAGACGCAGAGATCCATCTCCGATGAGCTTCTTCCGGACTGGCCTCGGGAGGCGAAACCGTTCGCACTGCATGTGATACATTCGAACGGTGCATCTGCCCATAGATTAAAACTGGACATGGACATGAGATGACATGAGAACGTATTGCTAGTCAGATTCCGAACTTGATACCTTTTATTCCTTCAAGACTTTGTAACTATGCATCTTCTGAGTTCCAGTAGGATTGCGCAAGTCGTCGCTTTGAAATTCAATATTTGAACAGGTATGCTGTATACCGCATGCAAGGAAAAGGGCTTTTGTATGCTTTTGTGTATTGCACCTGTACAGATTACTTTGAGTGATGTCAAAGTAAATGTCTGCGTGTCAGCGTTTTTGGCAATATATAATATATATGATATTTGCCACAGTGGAGATTGCACGAACTAAGTAATTCTTGAAAGAAACACACTTTGGAGACTTTGGAGATGGAAACACACGATGGCACCAACCTACTGTAATTTTCTTTAAACACATTTTAAACACATCGTGTGTTTCTTGCAGATGCTTGCAGAATTGATCTGCCAGGCTCTGGATCTGACATTCATCAGCATCTACGTCGTGGAGATTTCCATGCGCATTTTTGCCTATGGCAAGTCCAACTTCAAAGATAGCTGGTGACATGGCCAACATTCATCAACAGTTTGCTGGTGCCTTAAGATCACAATCAACCTTATCAACCTTCGTTTTGGACTGGAAACTTCTCCTTGGTGCTGGCAGGTGCCATAGATGTCCAGAAAAAAAACTAGGAAACTTGTTATTAGACGGACGAAGAACCACGAGAGTGACACAGATATCATTGCAAATATGACACATTTTTCTGGAAATTGTATGTTGGGTTTACTGGTTTACTCATCCACATGTGTGCAAAAGATCCATTGACAATATTTGACAATAGTCGATCTGAGTTTTGGCCAGGTTTCTCTTTGACTTTGCACTGGTTGGTATGGGCCTGGCTGGGATCATTGTGGACAGTGTCTCTGAAGATGGAGGCGCGCCAAAGCCACCTGCAAACGCTGCAAATCACATATGCCTCATACAGAGTCACATCGATGTTTAACAAGAACGCCATGTGGTTGACAGGCGATACCCCTTTTGCCAAAGTGCTGGTGGTTCGCTCCCTTCGGCTTCTTCGCTTAGTGAGGGTCCCTCGCCAAAAATATGTATAGTTATGGTCACCAAACTCGGAGGGTTGAGCGGGTTGAGGGTATGTCCCCAGAGGTTGTTTCCACGAAATCATCAGATTTGGATCTTTAAGAACTGATGACTTCGAGCGATGCTCAGTGAGTCATGGTGAGACCTCGGAAGTTGTCGTGTTGTGTTGGATCTGTGTCGGTTGATCCTTAGACAAAACTGAAGCATGACAGACTGCAGCCAAGGCAATCAGGATGTTGCACATGTTCCGAACAGTTTGGCGTTTGGTCTACGGATTGCTGACTTCCGGAAACACCATGCTGTCGACTTTCTTCATCCTCCTGTTGACCTTGTACATCTTTGCATGTCTAGGCGCTGTTCATCCAACCGGTCTGGAAATGGCTAGGAAATTGGCTAGGCTAGGAAATTTGCAGCCATCATCAAGGCGTTTGCAATAATGTGGTAAACCGTGGTAAAGCCAAACAAATACCATTTGGGAAATTTTGGGAACATGATTTTTAAACCAACCATTGTAAGTCAGACTGGATGTCATGGGGGATAATAACATCCAATATTTCAACCGCAATATTTTTCAACCGCAGGTGTGGAGCTCATCACCAAAGATCCGCTTTTGCAAAGGCCGGGGAAGATGCTCCAATTTCTTTGGTTCTCTGAAAGTTGCCATAGCTTAAGGATCTTTAAGGATCTTTAAGGATCTTTAAGGATCTTTAAGGATCTTTAAGGATCTTTAAGGATCTTTAAGGCATTTAAAAGGCATTTAAGTATTGCAAACGGTTGTCTTCTTGCGGAAGCCTTGTGCTTGTTAGTGCCAAACTTTGGCTCGGTTTACATGAAACGAAGATCAACTATTGACCCCTTCAGCAGTTTGTCCTACTTCCTAGCGGCCTGGTCTTTTGAATGGGGTTGCTTCAAGATCCTGCACAGAACCTGCACATGCATAGATTGTATCTACCAGACTAGCAGATTCATGTCAGAAATTTCAGATGGCTTTGTCTGAAAATAGGCTACCCCTTGTCCCTTTAAACAAAAAGCCTCAGATAGCCAATTTGGGGATACCCCATGTCCATGTTGAACAACTGCTGGATTGCATTGGCATGGACCAGATGTGACCAGCTGGCAGGGATCCAGACACAAAGGACATCGTGGCATATCACTTTGGCAGTTTGCAGAGGACGATGGACGACAACTCGCCGCCATGGCCAACGGTGGCTGACAGTGGCTGGTGCGGTTGTTCACATCATATTGCGAAGATGAAGAGTTCACATTGCAAGAAATCTATACGTGGAATCTCCGACTCTCATGACTGACATGTGTACCTAGTGTTTACGTTTGATACTGGAAGTCTCATTGGTACCAGATGTTGCAGTGTGATTTCATGCTCAAGGTTCTCGACATGTTCTCACCAGCGGTGCAGGACTCTACTTACCTTGGTGTCCTTTGTCAGTGCAGACTCCATTGCCCAAGTGTTGCCTGGCGTGAAGCATGGTAAAGATGGTCCATGGTGCTGTATGTTGTCCAAGCACTGGAGCACTGGTTTTCAAACCGCCCTGAGGTATATGCCGATTTGCATCGTGCGGCCATTTATGGTGATCTACTTCATTATCGTCATCCTCACGGTATCAGCAGCTTGCCGTGAAGGGGATCACCGGAGATTTCTTGGTTTACGCTTTACCACTGTTACCCTTTGGTAATTTAACAGTTCGCTATTGAAAATGGCCCATTTTAGTTCGTTTATTTATCTGTTGAAGATGGTGATTTTCCAGTTCGCAGACTGTTAGTTTACCAGAGGGTACCTCCAACATTAGCCACTGAAGACTGCAGCACTGATTTGTTGTGCTTGGCACAGCCAGGTCTCCCTGATGAATCTCGTTGGAAGCTCAGGACAGCCAGTTGCACATATTCAGCGAAGGGCAATGGCAGTTCCGGAAAAAAAACACACACACAACAGAATGTACTATTACCATCATTTCAAGGCACGCGGCACGAGACACTGGTAGAAATATTGCCCTTGACAGACTGGTTGGTTACTCAAACTCCTGCCAAAAACTTCTTTCAGACTTGTGTCTTTGCTCCTGACTTTTTTCCCCTTCAACCCAAGGTCACGGCAGTTTTGGTCGAAGGTGCCTTAGCCAACGCTGCCAATGACAAGGAGCTGGGCCGACACGATATGAAGCAGAAGGCTTGTTGTGGATGGCATGTTGGACCCGCAACCTGCAGATCCCTGTTTGAAGCAGCCGGGAAACGCTGGTGGGGCCTTGTTGCGATTTGATTGTGTGACAGGTCAGAAAGTTTGCACCCAAAGTGATGCAAGTGTCTTGAATGCAAAGGAGAGATTTAATGATATTTGCCCCACCAATTATGAGGCAAGTGTAGGATTACCTGCTCATGAGGTCTTTGCAGAGATTGATGAAGACGGAAGTGGAACAATCGACCGCCACGAGCCACTCGGCTGCATCCAGCCAGGGCACCATGCCCATCAGACTTGAAAGCACCACCTGTGGTTCCGACATGTTCTAAATAGAATCAGTTGAGCGTATGTAATTAAATGGGCCATATTTGCCACAATTTGCACTGAATCCATCTATACAGTTTCTAAAGTTGTCCTTCGGTTCATGAATCTTGACCGCTTTGTGTTTATTTGTTTATTTACACTGTTACTGTCACATTTTAACATTGCTGAACAACTCCCCTATACAGCCTATCCATAAACGGAGTTACACGTGCATGAAAATTTGGTTTCGCATGGACGCACATTGTACAGCATCAGTTCCAATTAATTATATAACAAGGTTTACCTCCAGTCGTCCCAAACATGTTGCCAGTCTGTTTGTCCTTAACATGTTGCCAGTCCATTTCCCTTCAAAATTGCGACATAACACTGATGTGCTCTTACAAAACTTGACATCAGTTTGGGATGAATTGCCCTGCACCATGATATTTGCAGTCATCCTACAGAAATTGCAAAGCTGAGCGGACTTAACGGTGGACAGCCGAGAGGATGATCTGGTTCACTGGACAATTATGTAATTATGACAAGCGATGCTGTTTGAAACAAGTTGCTCTCAGTCGCGGAATGCCCAAGCGGGCCCTGAGGGTGACCAGAATAAATCTCGATGAACTGCCCATTGAGTTGAACTCTGAGCATGTGGAAAGCTTGGAGGACTTCGATTTTTTCGAATTCCTGAAGTTTTACCAGACCCGGTCGCATTTTGCTATATATATAATATTAATTGCTATATATATATAATATTAATATATTTGGATACCGAGAAAAATACACCAGTATTGATAGATGTAAAGATAAGAACCGGCAGGAAAATGGACATTTGACTAAAGGGTCACAGGCGGATGTTAACTTACATGCATGCACAAAATATCATATGAGATGGTTTACATTTTACTCGACATTTGCTGCAGCTAGTCTTTATCTCTCAGTCGTAGTTGAGCTCCAAACACAGCCCGGCATATTTTTTCGGCAAGCATTTTCAGCATTTCAATCGGATTCTGCTTGACTCTCAAAAATTGAGATCACTCTGGGTAGCTGTAGCATAAACTTTATTCACACGATGACGGTTCAATATCTATATCTTTTTGATCCTGTGCTGGCCTTGACCCCCTACGAGACTCTAGTTGAGGGCGGCACTGCTTCAGTGCCGGCATACCAGAATATGTTGGCAGGTCAGGTGTCAGCATCACATTACATTACTGTCTACAAATAATTACATAATATATATATATACATATTATTATGCCCATACGATCACATGGAATCACATGGATCATGCATATACAAACGCACATATGTATGTATCTATATGTATATATTATATATACACACAACACACAGAATTCAGAATGGCGGTCCCACTAGCCAAAACCCAAACTTCTCAGCGGTTTCTTGCCAGTTTCCAGTTTATGTCCGCAGGATCTTTTTGATATGCTGGATGTGGAGGGCAAGGTAGGGCGGTAGAGCTTGGTGGTGGGGGGGTGGTTAAGCATAAAATGATGATAGCTGGATAGAGAATGATAGAAATATAGACTAGGCATTTCAATAGATGCGGTTTGAAAATGTTTGAAAGATTCTCAAACCTTTCCACCTTAAGTTTCTTCCTCACGGAGGTCCTGGAGGATGACTTGACATCCCGCACATGTCTTAGACACTTTCCATCCTGAAGGGGGGATTCGGGGAAGATTCGGGGAAGATGATGAAAACATGTTGTTCCCTTCATTTGATGAAGCCACTAGGCAGCAAATTGATTGATTCATAGAGTGTCTATGATTGTCTTGTACTACGAGTAGGATGCTACACTGTCTCACTTTAGACCACAGGTGACAAGGTGCTCACAAGTTTCACGCGGACCAGTCATGACCAGTCGCAGTTGATTCAGTACCATTGAAACATCTCGATGTCTCTAGATCTTTTACGATGAATTTTCAGCAGGGAATTGGATTGGGACATTGGGTCAATGCCTGTGATGTCACAATAGCCTTTTCGAATTCTTTTTGATCCATTGATCAGCTATTTGCATCTATTTGCCAGCACAGGGCAGGGGTTTGATCATTTAATCCATAACCAGATCATCAAATCATGTGGCCAGTGGCAAGGGTGGCAAGCCCAAAAGCTCCATTTTTTCAGCGTCAATTTTTGGCGACCCAGGGCACCCTGACCCAAGCGGAATTTGCAGATGGTCTGCTGAATTTGCTTACGCTCCTTGGGCCAGTGGTCTACCAGTGGTGTCTACTGTGAATGTCTGTGATATCCACTTGCAACACGTTTGTGATGTCATTATGAAGCAAACCTAGAGAACATGAAAATCATGACGCGAGCTAGCTACGAACATGCGATTGTCAGGAACCCCATATTTTTTTGGACGCTGCATTCAGTTGTTACCAAGGATGGATGTGCCAGTGCACCAGATGAAGACATTCAAGATCTTGTAGCTTGGTAGTGTCAATGGGCATGATTGTGCAATGCTTGCTCCTCATTCCTGGTTGTACTAAACGATCACTTGCAGCTGCAAACAGATGGGTACCCTTTGGTGATTTGATGTGAGATCCGCTTGATATTGCATCCACTTAGTATGGAATCCGCTTTGTACGCAGCTCACTTCATATTAAGGTATAGACCCTTAGCATGAGGGGCTTGACAACGGTCAGGTGTTGGACTGTTGAAATGAGGATATATAAGTCAGGGTTTGACGACGAGCATGGGCTTGAAAGGTCGAGACGGGCTGGCTCTCAAATTGTCAAGGGGGGTTCCCTATGGTTCCCTTTTTCCAATGTGGCTTTGTTCAGAAATGGAGCATACCCCCAATACATGGCCATAAAAGATGGGAATATGATGATAAACCGCTGGATTTGGGGGCTACGTTTTGGCTGAGGCAGCTACATACAACTGCGCTTGACCAGATCAAGAGCAGACTCAGTAGCCTTGAGGCTTCGCTCAATCGAAGATAGCCACTCATGCTGCACTGTGACCTTTACCAGCAGTGATCGAAAGAGAACAGGCCTTGAGTCTTTGAAGCTGGAAGAAACGATAAGAAACGTGACTTGCAACTGCAGGCACCAAGTTCCCGGCTGTTCTTGTGTTTCTGCGACATTTTCTGCCTGTGTTGTGCAGTGTGCAGAATGCGCAACGACTGTCCGCCATCCTACCACTCTCAGGCCCGTGATGATTCCCTTCACAGGCAGTGCACGGAGGCTGACATGTTGTCTGATGGGTTACATGTCAGCACAGAGCGAGCCTCGGGGGTGCCGAACATATTACATACTGTATCAAGTTTTTGTGATATTGAGGAAGGGAAGATTATGAATATATTATATTTAACTATATACATCTATATACATATATTTATCATATATATATAATATAATTATAATATGTAGCAGTAGCATATTATATGTATACATACAATGTCTTCCGTCTCACTTCTGGGCCGCTTGTTTGCTCTTATCTCCTTCACTTCCGGGACCTGGTTTGCTCAACCGGGCAAAGGCGCTGGAGACCGTTCCCAGTTGATTTGAAGGCACCCGTTGCCCCATAAATTCGCCTCAGCTCGTGGAACTAATGGACAGGTGACCACCGCGTTTCTACTATGCTGCTATTTGATGTAGTCTAAAATATTCTAAAATAGTCTTAGAGTTTCCTTAGCATTTTCTTGTGGCTGTGAAGCTGTTTCCTGTTTTGAGCACAACCTTGAGGCTTCACATTTTGTGACGCTGGCCAATTTCTACGCCCAAAGGGATGGATCACAGCACGTGAGCCACGCAGTTTTAAGATGTTTTAAGCAGTTCGGCTTGGCAGTTCGAAGATGCCGAGTGGGAAGAGACTGTGTGTTTTCCATGGGTTTTCCAACATTCCAAGGGCCGATACTTGTAGGAGATGTCATCCATGTTTGATCATTTTACATTTTGCTCAAAGGACGCAATTTGAAACATATGCTGATTGCAAGCACATCAAGCACCACAATGTCCTCATAGAAGTCGTTTGACTCGCCATGCTGTGCAATGCACACATTGCGATCATTGCACCGAGCAATGCGCGACTGGATGATGGAAAGTGCTGCGCTGCTCGTGTATCCCGTGATGGAAGAATGGTCATTCGAAGACTCACAGATACAAGCAGTTTAGCAAAAAATGACAAGCATAGAATAGAATAGACAATGAATAATCATAGAATATAGATGAACATAGTCC